ACCAATTTTCCTGAACCAGAATCAAATGGAGCTCTACAAGAGCAGTAACGCCTATCCCTAGGTTAGGGTGCGCTGTTAATAATAGCAGTGTTCAGTTAATAGCACAATAGCGCGAAAAATTAAAAAAAGTAGTGAAATCGAAAACAGCCAAGCTGTCTAAGAAATTATGCGCCAGAAATTAGCCGAATAAATCCATAACGAAGGATCACTGGAACCTAAAAGCAGGATGACGACTGCAAAAACTGCTTAGGACAGAGAATGTCAAGAGACTGAGTTAGAAAGTGATGAAAGAAAAACCTGATCGTATCATGTTTTCCAAAATTCGAGGTTTCTAGTGAAACGGTGTGGTTCTACTTACGCAATGAGAATTAAGCAAAAATTTAAGAAACGTAACGTCGAAACAAGGGATACGACCTTGCTTGACAAGCCTTCTAATTTTCATGGTTCCACTAAAGCAAATATCGCTCCATTATTTTCCAACGTAAGAACGAAGAATTCAGAAGCGATGTTTCATTCATCAACTTTTTACAGTGCAATTCTCCGCGTGCTAGAGTAAGTCGAGACAGCTGCTACAGCGAACAGGTTTCACAAACAACACGATTAACGCGAGCTGGCTCGTATGGTCTTACAAATGATTACCATTAACTCAGGTGCGCAACAAGATTTAAACTCTTACCTGCTGTAGATATGGACCAATGTGGAATAGCAAATGAACGACTCTGTAAGAGATGGCATTCACAGAATGTGGGAACAACAATTGAAGCAGATAATCGGAGGGCGCCAACTGAGAAATATTATTTTCGAAAAAAAACGAAAGAAAACGTGGAAAGTTGACAATGGACACTTTTAGGAGATTCTTATTGGAACTCCAAATCCGCTCACATGTCATGTGACGCAACTAGCGTTTGGAGCGAAACGCGAGCTCAAGCGCAATCCTCGCCTTGAGCTGCACCGTATTTTCATTTTCAGGAAGGTCTTTCCTTTTTTCCCTTTGTTTTGCAGCTAGTCTTCAATTGTTTTCTCAACATGAACCACCTGCTCTTGGACCATGGGCCAAGTCACAGCAGCTGGTCCATCCTGGAAAAATGGCTGAAATCGCCAAAAATATGCGAGAATATTTCAAATATGTGATATACTGTTACAGATGCGTTGCGCTGCTCACTTCGCCCGTAGGGCGGGTATTGCGAGGTCTGAAATTTAGCTCAACCTGCACTGAACACTCAGTTCTAGTCACGAATATCCGCATAGTCCACATTAATCGTGATGACGTCACTTGAAAAAAATACCGTGCTATGCAAAAGAGAACAGAACCTATAATCATCCTCGAATAAATGGAATAAAGATATGGAAGAAATTTTGCCCACAGTCGAGTGTTCATGTGAGTTTACTGACATGACTATTTAGCGATCGTGGAACGTAAAATAGTAGACGACCACGTCGTTTTTATTCTCTTGAATCAGTTAAACAGGACTGACTAGAAATCCATAAAAGACCGTCTAATCTGCAGTTCTGTCTAGTGGAGCTCACATTGTGCAACTGTTACAAAACCGGCATTTAGGTGCTCCACTTAAAATAGATTTGTGGGAAAGGCACAGGAGACGGTTTCAAGAGCTCTCGAGAATGCTCCTCCCTGTCAGCCACTCAATGCTGATCTCATCGTGTTTTCCATGCTCACTGCGTCTGACGCAAAATTAGACAAATAATGGTAGTCAAACGAAGGTGACACAACCATCGAAACCGTCCAAGCCAAATTAGATGATCAAAATGGATAATCAAACAGTTATAATTGAATTACGGCAAAAATTAAGAACCAGAACAAGTTCGTTCCCGAAATTTTATTGACAACTGATTACAGCCATCTTCAATTACCGACTGATGGTGAGAATAAGAAACCTATAAAAACCCGGTCATGTCGCAGAGACAAATAGAGAGCAGTCTTCTGTACCAAGGTATTCGCTACTTAGCGAGATTGAAATCACAAGAAGGATAGAATGTAAAGATCTTTAGATAACATAACCCAATTTCAGTGTACATATCTAGAAATGACAGAAAGAGATAAAACCAGGAAAAATAGAAGAAAATAATAGAAATTCCAATATATATCGACATTGGTACTAGTAGACACTTACCGGATTTCGGACCATATTGCTTCCTTCTTCTTCAAGCGGAGGAGCAGAAGCCATCATAAACTGAAAATTGAAATTCTGTTTAATATTCCAAATATATTCAAAAGATTCATACGAGCGACCAACGTGTCGATACACTGCCACGTGACAATAGGAAGAGAACAGATGACATTGAGTTCTTACGAAAGATCGTTTGCGTAAGAGTGAAAAGCAATGATTCAGCAAGCGCTAGAATCGATATTGTTGACTGAAATTTGCAAGCAAAGCGGCGCTGTCTGGCCCGAAAAAGTGCGTGAACTTCGGCTACGATAAAGTGTACCACTCAGTCCACGGAAATGTGGGAAAGCATTCTCAACGGTTGAAATTTTTGTATGTAACACAAAAATTGGCCTTCACAACCTTCATCCCTAAGCAAATCTCCTATACATTTTTAAATGTCTTGCACTAGAAATAAACTCATTCCTTGCTCAATAGCGAGCGCAACAGCAGTTATTATAAAAAGTATCATCTGCAATAACATCGCCTCAGGGATCTCATAAAAACAGAATGTCTTGGTTGAGCAGTAACTGTTTTCGTTCAGCCATCAATTGCTCTAAATTTCCTGATGTAGGCATTTATCGAGTGACTCATCATTTTAGTGGCAATAATAGAAGCACTGAAGGGAGGAGATGACCCGTCAAATCGAGAAATAGTGTTTTCCGACAAACATTTCCCTAAAAAAACCGAAACCAAACACGAATGTATTGATCCGCTGAAATTGTATGTTTTATTTGTTATGTTACATTTTGGGTCGAGACGATGTAGTTTCAAGCAGCATTATTGCTGCATCCTCGAGCACCCCGGCTCGGTAGAGTTACGGCTAAAAGCTAATCAAACTCCCTATCTTCCGTGTGGGTTGACATTATTAAACAAGCCTGGAATGCTACTTTGATAGCTCATCCCTAGCACAAAATTATGCCAAGTCACATTGTTATGCTAATTGTAATCCACAATGTTTCCAATAGGAGAAAGAAGCGTAATGTACCCGAAAGAGGACTGGACAACGCTTGCTCCGCTCCAGTTCTTTTTTATATATTTCATACGATTAAGCTCTATACAAGACGAATTGAGTGGTCAGTTTTCCTTCGAGCGCTATCCCAAAAACTCATGCCAGCAAGTACTTTCCCTGTCATACTTTAGGACAAGGTGGCGCTATTGCGGTATCGAAGCTGGCTGGATCTGGCACGTTTTCCCTCATCACATTAGGCTGGTGTCAGAGTCCGCGATTCGTCGCAGGTTTCGCTGATTTTCGCGACTTTCGCGATTCACGCGACGGGTCACGGAAATCACAAGTGCCGATCAATACTGCAAGGTGTTCTCCAATCCTGCCGCCACTTCTGCTTGATAGTGATGGCTGAATGACGACTGCTCATGATTCACTTGTTTCATATTCAGTGTTTCAAATGTTCAAATGGGGCACTTGCAATTTTTGCGATCCGTCGCAGGTTTCGCGCAAATCGCGAAAATCAGCGAAACCTGCGACGGATCGCGGACTTCTGATCACGGATCTCTGAACAATCTCAGATTCGATGGCCACAGCCTTTTTGAGGGCTCTCACTGGATTCTACACTGAGGCTAAGTCCGCTTAGCGAAAGTAACACTTAAACCACCCCTGTAAACAAAAAACACATGTACAGGGACATCACCACTCCTCTGAAACCCTTCATTGACAACTGCAGATTTATTTTTGGCCTTAATTCAGGCAACAGATGCCGCAACTGATTTCGATTCCAGCCTTAAGACATAACAACTCGATCGAATAGAGGAACTAAACGCCTCGTCATCAGTCTTTAGGTTTCTAGTAAAATCCCAATGCACCGGTATTGGTGGGTTATTCAACGGATTCAAGCAGTAGACAGTCAACCGCAATGACAACCAGAACATCAATCATCAACAGCTGGGATGATGCTGTCAATCTTAGCTGTAGCGTTCATACTTTGAGCAAAACGCGCTTTTGGCGCGCGAATAATATATAAGTGATCCATCAGAACGCGTGCCTCACTACAACTTATAACACGGAAGAATGGCACTGCTTCCGTATTCACTACGTCCACCCACGTTTATCGTTGCGAACCATAAGTGAAGTTCAAGTATTTCCTGACATTGCAAGACTTTATAGAATTCAGAGATAATCCAGTTGAAGCGGAAATTATTCGAGAGCGGTGAAGTCGTATAAACACATAGGTTTCAAGACTTCGATTCCGTATTTGCTTAACAAGGCCATCCAGCAAGAAAACTAGCTGTTGTTAAGCACCGTCTCTCCTTTCTACCATAAGAAAAACTGCCGGTATCTGCTGCATACTATGCTAGATAATGAAGAAATTTGAAATTCTGTTCTGAATTCCTTATAACCTGGAATTGAGGAATGCTCGCGCGATAACCGAGCCGACAGTGATTAAATGTATTATGAGCACGAACTTCTTTCAACAATATTAAAACTCACAATCATACTTAACATTCATCTTCTGGAACACGTAAAAGAGACGAGAAGAAACACACGAGATTACTCACATCAAAGGCATCGCAGTTTACGAATCCGAAGGTGCCGACAAGAAAGGAAAGAATGCCCTCGAAACATCTTATAAGTTTGATGTGGATTATTGTACGGTCTAACTTAAAACAAACACTAAAATGACATCAAACATGAGAAACCTCAAGAAGAAGAGTTGCATGAGGTCATACCAGCGATTCGATTACGCTTGATTACATTACCTCATTTGAATAATACCAGCTTCACGGAGCTTCATAAGTTTCGCTGCTATGTCAGGATTCTGAAGGTGCTCTCTGACTGCCCCAGGATCCTATAACAAGTCACCTTTTACGCATTCAAATATAAGTACATTTATATCCTACCTGACTCATTTGTTCCAGCAACAATCGCATTCCAGGGTCACGGAGTATGGCTTGCACCTCAGGGTCTTCGAGCGCTCGTTCTCTAGCCTAAATATTGTAGCATAGCAGAGATCGAACTTTTAAAATATCACGTACGTTTTCCAAAGATACTATACACTTACCTTTTCTGGATCCTCATCGTTGCTACGGAAGCAATTACGCAGCCCCTCAAGGGCTTCAGAATTTGAAGGATCCACGGCGAGAGCATCTTCATAGGCTCGTTTCGCCTTAGTCCACTCTCGCATTGCGGTCAGCACAGCGCCTTTTCGGATGTAACCTTTTACTAAAATTGAAAGGATAAGCACACACACCATACAGTTGCGTAATTTACTCCTTACAAATCAGCGGGACAGCGAGGACTAAGCGATCTCAACAGGATCTCAACTTTGTGAAACTTACTGAATTTCGGATCACGTTTGATGCACTGTTCACAATCGTCAAGGGCTCGTTGAAAATCTAATAGTTTTGTATAGCACGCGGCACGATTCGAGTAGAGGATAGCGTTTTCAGGATCTCGCTTTACAGCTTCATTGTAATGCTTCATAGCACCCGGATAGTCTCCTTTCTGAAATTCTCATATAAACGCTATAAGCCAGCTATACTTAGCAATGTATTATATGTGGCAATAAAATACCTTGAACAACTCATTGCCTAAGTTCTTCTCCTCCTGAGCCAACTCAGGATTAATGTATGCCATTCGCTCTCTTTCTTTGATCGACTTCTCCAGCTCTTTCGCTTTCTTCACTACTTCCTTGAAAAAATGTTCACTGACTGAGGAAAACGATCAGGCTTCTTTTATCATGTTCCACCCTGTACTCAAAATAAATGAAAAAAAAAAAAGCTGTAGACCTACTGGATCTCTAAACTCGGACACGGACTT